GTGTCGCTGTGGCCCATAGCGACACTAGCTTTTTTTTTTTTTTCATTTTTTTGGGTTATTGGGTCTCTTTTTTTCTCCAGATTTATTCTACCAGTTTTTCTTTTTCATTTTTGTTTTTCTACATTTTTTTCCTTCACTTATTTTTTGCCCAGTTTTTTTAAATAAAATATATCTGTTAAAAATTATTATATACTCAACATTCTAGTAAATTATATTATCAATTTCATATAAATATATATTTATAAATTTATTATTTCTATAATTTGTTTATTTTATACATATCTATAGCGCCACTATTTTTTTTTATTTGAATTATTTACTTAATTATTTTTAAAATTTATTTATTTTATATTACAAATTAAATATTAATTTCTATTTATAAACTTATTTTTTGTGTAATTTCTTTTCTTTATATATATTTTTTTCCTTTAGATTATTTTATCACGAATTAAAATGCCACGTGTCACCGGTGTCGCTATGGCCCATAGCGACACCGTTATAAACAGCCCCAAAGGCGTAAATAGTTTCAAAACAACCCCATTTACGTAATAAACTTTTAAAACAACCCCACTTTGGTCAAAAAGCCAAGTAAAAAAGTTAAAAAGCAATTCGACACCTAAGCTTCAAATAACACGAAAAAAGGATGAGATCCATTTGATTATAGAAGTTATATTAGGGATGCCAAATAAATAGATTAGGAGTGGCAAAACAATTTATTTATGTATTATTTATTTAATTTATTAAGTAAATTAATTTATTATAGTAAAAATAAATAATATATTAAATTTAATTTATTTATTTAATTTTATAGATAGTGATATTTATAACATTTTCAAAATTTATTGATCTATAATATAAGATATTTATTAGATTAAAATTTTAAAAAACTATTTTTACAAATAAAAAAGAGTATCTTAGTGAATCTAAATAGATTAATAGTTATTTTTATCCGATTCATTATGATTTGTCTAAAAAATTACTTTATCCATTAATTTACCACCCCTAAAATAGATATGAATCGAATAATTTTTTAGATGTATCATAACAAATAAAAAAATAATTTATTTAGATCTATTAGAAATTCACTTAAAAATCTAATCTATTTTATAAAAAAAATATCATCCAATCCATCCTTTAACAATTTTTTGATATATAGATATCCAATCTATTTATGAGAAAAATGTTTTAAAAATTTAATTTTTTTAATTTTTTTATTGTGTATACTTTATAAATCACTATATTCTTATATAATCTTTAAAAATTCACAAGACATTCTTTTTTATATATCAAAATAGTCTTTTTATAATCATTCTTATATGCTCTTTTAAAATCTCATTCTAATAAACATATCATATTATAATCATATGCTTTAATGTGTCTAGAGAGTCATGTGAAGCAAGTCCTAAAAGTCCAAGAGGACTCTAAACAAGTGTAACAACCCAATTTTCACTAGGCCAAGGGCCCAATTAGGGTGGATCAGTAGCTCGGAACGGGCCGTTCCAAAATTGGAACGGGCCGTTCCAAATGACTAAATATACCTATGTTTGATTGCCCAGAACGGGCCGTTCCAAATAATGAAAATGAACT